GGGGGGGGGGGGGTGGTGGTGACTCCTGGTTTGATCTTCCCCAGAGGACTGATCTGTTCAGGGCAGGGGAATTCCCACCTGGGGGCCAAACGGTGGGACCACTCCAGCTGAAGGCAGTGCTGGGCTGGGGGCCTGGCTTGGTAGGCAGGGCAGTGCATTTCCCACCCCTCCCTCGTGGCCCACGGTGGGGGCATTGGTGCCAACGCTGCTGTCATCTGCAGCCCTGGGCGCACTTGTCTGCATTGCTGCTAAGCAGTGGAGACCTCCCAGTGTGGGGCCAGTGCTCAGCCTGCCACGAGGGTCCACAGGGCCACACAGGTGGGGCAGGGTGGTAGCGCAGTGTGGGATGCCTGTGCCGGTGCGACAGCCCTCCAGCCCCTGCCACGGTCTCTGCGCGCTTCTCCGTCCTTCTTTCTAACCTGCCTCACTCTCGTCTGCGCCCTGCTCCTCCTGCCCCGCAGCTCTTCTACTTGTGCGCCGACGTCTGCCAGAAGATGAACCCCAAGGAGTCCCGCACGCTGGGCAAGGATATCTGGAACATCTTCTTGGAGAAGAACGCGGTGAGGGTGGGAGTTGCTCAACGCCTGCCTGGAGCTCCCCTCCTGCGGGGGAAGGCAGGGGCGGCCTGGAAATGGCCCTGGGTTGTCCTGCCTTGAGCATCCCATGGGCTGTGCAGACGCAGGCTTCAGCAAGGGAATAGCATAGGTGGCAGTGAGAAGGGCTGACACAAGTGGTAGCTGCTTCTGTCACTGAGCTAGCTGTCTCTGGGCAAAGACCCGGGTAGCAGCCTCACTTTGGCTGAGTGACCCAGGCTTGCCAAGGTCCCCATCCCCTGGGGTTTCCTCTAGCTACCCAGGGTTTTTAGCCTGCTGCTTAACAGAGACAGCAGCTGATGGGGATCTGTTTCTCGTGGGTGAAATTCTGAGCCAATTCCCTGCTGAGGGGCAGTCGCACGGGTTTGCCCTGAAATCCTGTTCCCCGGTGCTCATCCCCTGTGGCCTGGGCGCAGCCTGGCTCCGGGGGGAGCTTGGGCAGGATCCTGCCCAGTCACAGATGCGAGCAGTGGAAGGCGCTGCCTGTTGGCTGCATGGGTAACTGTGGTTCAATAACAGTGGGGTCCAGATGAGCAGACACGTGACTGTTTTTTGGTTTTTTTTAAAACTCCACAGGCACTGAGGGTGAAGGTGGCTGATTCGCTGTTGCTGGAAATAGGTGAGAGTCTGTCAGCCTGTGTGCAAGATGCATGCTCCTTGGCTATGCTTCCCCTTTGGTGCAGCGCCGGGAGGGGGGCTATCTGCACAGCAAGTCTTGCAGATATCTCCCCCTCCCTTTTATATTGTCCCCACCCCCTGGGGAGGAAGTGTCTTGTGATAAGATAAGGTGGCAGGATGGCTAGGTGCTGTGACTCATCTGGGGACGTGATTTCAGTTGTGCCCATCAGGGTCTGTAAATGGGGCTGACATTTCTGTTCGCATTTGGGGGTGGGGGGCGAATAAAGGCTCTAACTGAGATCGGGGCCCCTAGTGCCAAGTGTTGCGTAGTCAGAGTGAGATGGTCCATGGGTCCAAGCTGCTGAGTGCACCCCAGTGCAGCAGGGGCTGAGCCCCCAGGGGTTGGTCAGCTGGCTTGGTGGCAGGCTGTGTGCTTCCCTGGAGCTGCCGTCACACCCAGCCATCTCTGCGCACCCCACGCCATCGAGGGATAGCAAGTCAGGGGCTCACCTCTCTCTTCCTTGCCCTTGCCGGCTGCAGAGTCTCGCCTGCGAAACGGGGAGGACGTCCGGAGCGCCCTGTCCGAAGCCCAGGACACGGTGATGCCTGAGATCCAAGAGCAGATCCAGGACTACAGGTAACCGTGTTGCCCACTCTCCTGCTGCTGCCTGGGAGCTAGCTTGTCTCAGCATCCCATGCCCCCTCCAGTGCCTGCGTCGCAGAGGCTCTCAGCCCTGACCTATGCCCATCTGTCCTCAGGACGAAGCGCACCATGGGGCTGGGGAGCCTGTATGGTGAGAACGACCTGATGGACCTGGATGGGGACCCCCAGAGGGAGCGGCAGGTGGCAGAGAAACAGATCACCCAGCTGGGTGACATCCTGTAAGTGCCCTGAGGCAGCCAGGCTACATCCCCGGGGGTCAGGCTCTGGGACCTGAGTGGGGTGGAACTGGGGTTTGCAGTCGGCCTGGGTTCGAGGGAAAGCGGGCGTGTGAATGAGGTTGCGGGGAGGGCAGTCCACCTGCTCCCATGTGCCTGCTTTGGGGTGGGCTGAATCAGGCAACAAAGGCTTGTTCCCAGGTGCTGCCTCTTCTCACCCCATGTCCTTCCTTCTCACCCCAGGTCGAAGTACGAGGATGATAGGAGGTGAGTGGCTTTGGAGCCGGTGACCATGTGCACAGACGTGCCAGGGCAGCACAGAGGTTTCCGTGCTTAGGGGCACTAATAAAAGCCACCTGCTTCCACCGCTGGGTCCCAGCCTCCCTGCCAAAGCTGCAGCCCCCCATGTGCCCCAGATTTGGCAGCAGAATCACTTTGCCTCCCCCCATGCAGGAGCCCTGCTGGGGCATCAACACAGTGCAGAACAGATCACATGCCTGGTGGGAGGGTTGGCTGTATGTTTGACCCCCTTGACACTGAACCTGCTCACCTGAGTACGACTAGCTCGTGTGGGCAGAAGCTGCCAGGTCCAGGCCCCAGCTCACCCTGTAGCACCTGGACATGTCTATAAGGACTCTCCTGTTGGCAGACACAAAGCCTTGGGTGGCTTTTGGCAGGGGTTATAAGCAGCATCCCTAGAGCAGCCCGGGCATAGCTGCACCAACAGGGCCTCTAATCCTGTATCCAGCGCTGCTCAGGCCCTGTCCTCTGTGCCACAGCTGACTCCCATGGTGCAGGCAATGGCCCCCCTGCGAGCACGGCCCTGGGTCCAAGCTGCAGCACGTGGCTCCTTCTCTTGCAGCTCCCCCATGGCCTTTGCCCTCCGCACCTACGTGACCCACGCAGGCATCCGTGGGTCAGAACCTCGTCCTGCCAGCACCAGCGAGAAGTCCCAGGCCCTCCCAGACAAGGACAAGTGGCTGCCTTTCTTCCCCAAGACAAAGAAGGTTGGTGAGGTGCCATCTCCCCAGGCCCAGCTCATTGCGATGCTCTCCCGCAGTCTCCCTGAGCCCCAGCTCTCTTGGCACACACATCTGTAGCTGCTCAAGCCGGGCCAAGAGCTGAGCACCCCTCAGGCATCCCCTTGCAGCATTCTGGCTCTGGCTGAGGGTCTGATGTCCTCCCCTGGAGAGGAGGATGTCTCTTGGGGCTTCTGTTCCTGGAAGATCCAGTTCAGACTCTTTCCAGCTCCCTAGCACATGGGCTGGGATCCGCTACCAGCCACGGGCAGGGCACAGTGGGCACGAACGCAGCCCCGTGGTGTAACCAGCTTGGAGGGTAAAGATGCTGCTCGGGTAGATGCTCTGTGCTGGCAGCCCTTGGTCTGGGTGATGCGCGTGCGCGCGCGCGCGTGTGTGTGTGTGTGTGTGTGTGTGTGCCTGTTACACTGGGCTTCTTCCATGAGAACTGGTATGCATGCATGTGTGTGTGTGTGTGTACATTGCTGCCCCCTGCTGGGTGGAACCAGGATGGTGTATCCTAGGCCCTATACAGCTAATTGGGGAGTCTCCTTTAGCTCAAGTTTTAGCAGCTTGAGGTTCCCAAGCATCCGGGGCCTGTCCTACTGCCGGAGGGGGCAGCATCATGACTGACAGAGTGGGACTGGCTGGTCTTCCTTTCCTGTCCGCTTGTGGCAGATTTTGTCCCCAGGGCACATGGCAGCACATTAGTGAGTTGCCTGGGGCTTTGGAGTGAGTCAGTAGTACATCAGGGGCTAGGGAGTGGACATGGGCTCTGGCCTGGCCCCTGGATGCTGGCTGGTGCTTCTCTAATCCCTGCCTCATGTCTCAGCAGAGCAGTGGCACGAAGAAGGACAAGGACACGATGGAGGACAAGAAGCGTAACCCCATCCTCAAGTACATTGGGAAGCCCAAGAGCTCCTCCCAGAGCAGTGAGTGCAGGGGCCATGGGGCAGCTTGGGGGGCAGGGGGGGACCTGCAGGAAGGTCCATGGGGCAGCCATGTTCTCCTTGGGAGTTGCTCTCTTGCCGGTGGCCTTTGACAGGGTGTCCCACTCCTGGAGATGGTGCAGCCCCTTGCCTCAGGGCTGTCCCTCTTTCCACCTGGCTGCAAGTGGATCCAGGTTTGGGAGTCCAAGGCCTTGTCTGTGTTGGGGTTCAGCTGCAGTGCAAGCCCCACGTCTAGCTGGGGCCTTGTGCTGATCTCGGAGTGATGTGTGCCACAGCAGGCATTGATCTCTGTGACCCAAAGTTCCTAGGTCTGGGCTCGGTCTGTGCTGTGAGGAGGGGTCCCAGACCTCCTCATTGCAGAGCCCACATCTGCCCAAGGCCTGTCCACCTGCCTTCAGCCTTTCCCCGCTTGTCGGAGGCTGCAGCAAAACCCTTCAGGCTTCCCAGCCAGGGCAGATGCATGATTTCTCCCTCACCTACACTCCCCTTCACCTTAATTCAGTCATGTGCCCTCCCTCCAAATATGCCCCCCCAACGGGCACAGTGTCTGCAGCCAGTGCCAAGTTCTGCAAGCCCAGCTGCAGTCTTGCTCATCCCTACTGAGCTGGGGCCTGGCACCAGCACTGGTTCGCTCTGCTCTGTGCAGCATCAGCTGGGAGGCTCCTGGTCTCCAATGGCTGTGGCCACCAAGACCAGTGGGAAGGAGGAGGCTGGGGCGGGAGTGTACCTCTGAGGGGGGGTCTTGGATAAAACCAAGCAGGTTGTGTGCCAAGGCGCAGTTGGTTTTGCACAGAAATTGGAGACTGGGCTAAGATGCCCCCTGAGAAGTGTGTCAGTGTCCAGTGCCACCTGCAGCTGCCAGGCTGCCCAGGTGGTAGGTCCCTGGGGTGGGGGGCGAAGCATCTGTGTGTCCCCCATCGCTGCTCTCCCTCCATCTCCTTTGCGTTCTCATGCCGCAGCCTGCACCCTCCTCTTCAGTTGCCAGAGCACCGAGCCGACTTGACATCTCATTGTTTTTTCCTTTCAGCATTTCATGTCCCCTTGTCCCCTGTTGAAGGTAAAAGGCCTCTTTTATTTTACGCTGCATTTCGCCTCATTTCGATTTCCTTTCCTCTGTTGCTCTATCAACAGGGCCCTTCCCTTGAGGGCTCTGACCATGGGGTGGGCGCCGGGACAGGCAGCATGGCTGGGCCCCCGGGTTCGGCTCCTGGCTCTGCAGGGGGAGGCATGGGGGAAGGGTGGGGTTGCTGTTTTGGGGGAGGGGAGCTGCAGTGCTACCCTAAACCCCAAAAGCACCCCCAGCTTCAGCTAGCTTCAGACCAAACAGGGGGGCCTTCCCCCACCCTGCTACAGCTGTCAGAGGGGCTGGGTTGCAGCGTGCAAAGGGGTTCATGAGTCTGGTGTCCTGAGGGTCCCTGTGTCCCTCCAGTCAAACCCGGCAATGTGAGGAACATCATCCAGCACTTTGAGAACAACCAGCATTACGAGTCGCAGGAGCCTGGTACGCAGCGCCTCTCCACTGGCAGCTTCCCCGAGGACCTGCTGGAAACCGACAGGTAGGGGGGCTTGGCGCCGCGGCTGCAGGGGCCTTGGGTCGCAGGGTGGCCATGCACTGGCCTCGGGTGCCCCCGAGTTCCTGCCACCTGGATGAACTCAACTCGCTTCTCCAATGCAGCTCTAGGTTGGAAGTGAAGCTGGGCCGCTCGGAGAGCCTGAAGGGCCGGGAGGAGATGAAGAAATCACGCAAGGCCGAGAATGTGCCGCGCTCCCGGAGCGACGTGGACATGGACGCGGCGGCAGAGGCAACACGGCTACATCAGTCAGCCTCATCTTCCGCCTCTAGCCTGTCGACGAGGTAGGAGCCCACGGGTGAGATGGGGGCCCGTGTGATGTGTGGCTCCCTCAGGGAGCCCCCGGCTGTGCTATGCTGTACAGCGTGTCGGCCAACGTCAAGCCACTCCTGTCTCTTCTCAGATCACTGGAAAACCCCACGCCTCCCTACACGCCCAAGATGGGGCGCAGGTGAGTGCTGTTGCCTGTGGCCACGGCAGGGCTCTGGGCCCAAGCCAGGGGCTGACCCCCTCCACCCCTCTCTGCCATCCTCCCAGGAGTATCGAGTCTCCCAACCTGGGCTTTGGCACGGACTCCTTCCTGCCCCACCTCCTCGAGGATGATCTGGGCCAGCTCTCGGACTTGGAGCCGGAGCCGGACACGCAGAACTGGCAGCATACGATGGGGCGGGAGGTCACGGCCTACCTAACGCAGAAAGAGATCGACCGGCAGGAGGTGATCAATGGTGAGGAGTCCTCGGCACCCAGTGGGACCCCAAGGCCCAGAGGCTGCCCTGGGGGAACACCAAGCTGGCTGCAAGGGGCTGAGTTTGGCCAGGAGGGTGTGTGGCAGATGGGTCAGGTGGGGGAACCACAAGCAGGCAAATAGGACAAGGCGTGGGGGAAAGTCAGGTTGGAAATTGCAGCCATAGGGGCAGGCAGGGTCCGACCAGCGCTTTGCATAGCCGAGAGGGCAGTTTGCTGTAGGCCAGGAAGAGTCCCCAGGGGAGCCTGAAGCACTGGCCCGTGCCTGACCCCTCCTCTCTCTCCCACACCCGGAACAGAGCTCTTTGCCACAGAGGCATCTCATCTGCGCATCCTCCGGGTCCTGGATGTCCTCTTCTACCAGCGGCTGAAGAAGGAGAGCCTGCTGTCACGGGAGGAGCTGGCACTGCTCTTCCCCAACCTCCCAGACCTCATCGAAATCCACAGTAAGACCCTGTGCACCTGGGCTCCCTGCCAGGCACCCTAGGGGCATTCAGGGTGCAGCAGCGTAGGTGGAGCGTGGGGCCCAAGTGTCTCATTGCAGCACCTTGGCTGCTTTCTTGGCTTTCTCATTCCCTCCCGCCTCCCTGCGCCGCGGTGGCCTCGTGTGCGGTGAGCTGGAAGCCTCTGCTGCTGCCGGGGCCTAG